GACTGCCCTGCCCAGCCTAGGGGCAGGGGGGCTGCAAAGCCTCTGCCTCTGCCACTGACCGCCTAGAGCCTGCCTCTGCCGGGAACACCCCGAGGGGCCAAGTCCTTCCTGAGAGAAAGCCCACCTACACCTAGGCCAGGCTGAGCCCAGCCAGCCCAGGCTCCCACCTGAGGGTGCTGAGAATGGCGCCTGGCCCTGCACTGTGCCCCGTGCAGGCATGCAGCCACTGTGACATCACTCAGGCCACAGCTGGGCTTTTTTAGGGACTAGAAGTAGCGAAAGGAGAGAGCGAGCGAGCAGTCACGGCAATGGTGCCGGCTTCGAGAAGGGAGCTGAGGGGCTCCAGGCACCTGGAGGGGGAATGAAGAGGCGAGCCCTGGAAGGACCCCAGGAAGACAGCCCTGCCTCCCAGCCAGGGCTCTCCGCGTCTGCTCGAGGGCTTTGGGGACAGATGGGAGGCTAGCGCCAAACGGAAGGCGGGGGACTGGAGTCAGGAGGCCCAGTCCTGCTGCTCCTGGACCGCCCATCTCGGGAGAACACCCTCCCCAGGCTCAGCTCCCTCAGTGTACAACCAAGAGGCCGAGCCGAGCTGATTGCTAAGGTCCCCAGCCACCCAGGACGCCAAGCCCTCTGTCCCCAGGCGCGTTCGACAGCCTCTGCTGTCTTGGATTTTATATTTTATCAAACACTTCTCTTTTTAAAAAAGATCTTCAGAAATGTTTTTTTAAAGAATTATTTTATTATTATTATTCATTTTTAATTTGCTACAGGGCATATGTGCTCACCAGAGAGAGACAGAGAGAGAAAGCGAAAAGGCCGGGTCTGGGACTTGAACCTCAGCTGGCCATGTGGGAGTCCAGTGCCTTAAGCACCATGCCACCTGCTGGCCCCACACTTCTCTTCTTTCCCATTCTTTGCTAACATTCAGAAAGAAGCCTGCTGGTAACTATCTGCAAGCAATTTTCCTGGGCATGTTCAGCTTTCTCAATGAATCGTGGCTTGTCATCACTGTTTACTTTTGTTCATTCCTTAAGAGCAGTTAGAAAAAAGCACTATTGAAATACGTCAACTGTTACAGAGATAAGCCAAAGAAACCTTTAAAAAGCCGATGTTTAACCTGGCTATTTTTCAGTATTTAAATGTTTGCACACCCAGGATGTACTCTGAATTTTACAGCCTGAGCAGATACTCATTTTAGGGTAAAGTGAGGCTTAGCCGGGCTACCTGACTCGCTCAAAGCCACAAAGCAAGCTGGTGGCAAAGCCCAGACCTGCGCACTGGGCGGCGGGTCGTCTTTCCAGCACCATCATTATCCTAACCAACCTGTCTGTCTAGATTTTCTGCTATGACTTCTTGGTTTGGAAACACACTTTACATACCAAAGTCAAGGCATACTGAGCAGGACTGTGGCAGGGCACACCTGTCCCACTAAGCTCATCTGGAAAGGGAAGAAATCAGTTTTGCCCAAAAGCTTTCTACCCTCATTGCCCTGAGCAGGGGACTCCCACGTCCTGGGTGGAACAGGCAATCCGTAGAAATCCATCGTCAAGCCTCTCCATGCCAGGAAGGCTATGGTTTGGAGGAGACCATGGAAAGATGGCGTTTCCTGGATTTCAGCTGCACTGGGATGAATGAATGAATTAGAAGGGACCTGCAACTGGAGGCGTTTCATCTTCACAGACGACAGCCAGGAATGACCTGGCCATTTATCCCTGGAAATCTGCTTAATGAGGGAAGCAGATACGGCCAGCCTGAGTGCAGTGAGTTAAGTCCTGTGCACGGGGAGTGGGGCCCCACAGGGCTGAGGTTTGAATCTCGGCTCCAGCAGCTCGAGAACACTGGGTGCATATACGAACACTTCCCGATGGAAGGAGGAACGGAGGAAAAAGGATTGCAGCACGACCAGGCCACAATGAAGGAGCGCTTTCTCCTCTCTTTCTGGTGACACACTTGCCCTCTAGCAATTAAAAAAAAGGGGGGCTGGCAGGTGGCATGGTGGTTAAGGTGGCTGGACTCCCACATGGCTGACTGTGGTTCAAGTCCTGAACCTGGCAGCT